CCATTTAGATCATAGAAATTTGTATGCGATGTTGAAATTCTACGCAGACTAATTTGATAGATGATGAAAAAACCCCTTTACCTGTACCCTCTACCTCAAATACTCAATATTAAACCCGAAGTCGTTTCTCCTTGTTACTCGAAAGTAAAAGAGAAACCCCCAAGTATCTTTTTTTTGTTTCTCGTTAATCTCCCCCATCAAGCATGTGTTACCATTGCGAGGGAAATTTGATCCCCCGAGATGAAACCATTCTGCAAGTAAAACCCCACCCTCGCAGAAAGGGTTTAAATTCATATCTTAAAACTAATTCCGAGATGAAGGAAATTTCAACTTTTTTTATTAACTGATAGTTTTTCAGAATTTTTTTTTTTTCATGTTCACTTCCCTCCGTATTCTGAGAAATTTTACAAAAAACTGATGCGCACCAGAGTCTTTGCTGTTAATTTCACCTTGTATATATATATATATTTATTTCCTCAAATCCGTAGATTTATGAAACGATCGATGATCAATTTTCCCTCCCATATTTTACAATGATTTTTCTTATAGTTTGTAAAGCATTACAATGAAACTCATTACGTTTAAACTGATTACGTTAACACCCATTATGTAAAACTCATTTTGTTAACATCCAGTATGATACCATCCATTAGTTCTAAGTTATATATGAATTTGTTATTGTGTAGAATCAGCCCAGAACCACCTGCCTGTTCAGCCTATAGCATAGTAGTGTATGTCGAGACGACATACATAACATGACCGAGCTGTCAGCATAGTTGCTGATCCTCCTTTACATGTGTTGTAAGCATAGATTAGATGAGCATTATAGTACCATCCATGTGTTTATATAGAAGATCCCTTAGGCCTGTGACTGTATGACGTCATGGGATGCAGCGAGCGAGTGAGACGAGCTACCTCGGCCTCAGACGACGCATAGGCATCATAGAAGGCAGGACATGGCAGGCTGGGCTCCATCTCCCATTACCACAGTCTGACAATATATAGTGTTACCATCCAACAAGTGAGTTTACCTTATCCATCAATCTCCTACCGAAACCCCACACGACAGGTGCACCATATACCCATTCTGTGGGTGCACCATATACCCATCCTGTGACAGCACCATATACCCATCCTGTGGGTGCACCATATATCCATCCTGTGGCAGCACCATATACCCATCCTGTGGGTGCACCATATACCCATCCTGTGGGAGCACCATATACCCATCCTGTGTGTTCACCATATACCCATACTGTGGGTGCACCATGTACCCATCCTGTGGGAGCACCATATGCCCATCCTGTGGGAGCACCATATACCCATACTGTGGGAGCACCATATACCCATCCTGTGGGTGCACCATATACCCATCCTGTGGGAGCACCATATACCCATCCTGTGGGTGCACCATATACCCATCCTGTGGGAGCATCATATACCCATCCTGTGGGAGTACCACATACCCATCCTGTGGGAGCACCATATACCCATCCTGTGGGAGCACCATATACCCATCCTGTGGGTGCACCATATACCCATCCTGTGGGTGCACTATATACTCATACTGTGGGTGCACCATATACCCATCCTGTGGGAGCACCATATACCCATCCTGTGGGAGCACCATATACCCATCCTGTTGGTGCACCATATACCCATACTGTGGGTGCACCATATACCCATCCTGTGGGAGCACCATATACTCATCCTGTTGGTGCACCATATACCCATACTGTGGGTGCACCATATACCCATCATGTGGGTGCACCATGTACCCATCCTGTGGGAGCACCATATACCCATCCTGTGGGAGCACCATATACCCATCCTGTGGGAGCACCATATACCCATCCTGTGGGAGCACCATATACCCATCCTGTGGGAGCACCATATACCCATCCTGTGGGCGGTAGTAAAAAGATTTACCTTGAAAGGAAAAGGAGTTTCGAGTCCACACAAAGGCACTCTAGATAACAGGGATATCTTGCTACTCCTACTTACACTTTGGTCACACTTCACAGACACGCACATGCATATATATATACATACATGTAGGTTTTTCTCCTTTTTCTAAATAGCTCTTGTTCCTCTTTATTTCTTCTAATGTCCATGGGGAAGTGGAAAAGAACCTTTCCTCCGTAAGCCATGCGTGTCGTGTGAGGCGACTAAAATGCCGGGAGCAATGGGCTAGTAACCCCTTCTCCTGTAGACATTTACTAAAAAAGAGAAGAAGAAAAACTTTATAAAACTGGGATGCTTAAATGTGCGTGGATGTAGTGCGGATGACAAGAAACAGATGATTGCTGATGTTATGAATGAAAAGAAGTTGGATGTCCTGGCCCTAAGCGAAACAAAGCTGAAGGGGGTAGGGGAGTTTCGGTGGGGGGAAATAAATGGGATTAAATCTGGAGTATCTGAGAGAGTTAGAGCAAAGGAAGGGGTAGCAGTAATGTTGAATGATCAGTTATGGAAGGAGAAACGAGAATATGAATGTGTAAATTCAAGAATTATGTGGATTAAAGTAAAGGTTGGATGTGAGAAGTGGGTCATAATAAGCGCGTATGCACCTGGAGAAGAGAGGAATGCAGAGGAGAGAGAGAGATTTTGGCAGATGTTAAGTGAATGTATAGGAGCCTTTGAACCAAGTGAGAGAGTAATTGTGGTAGGGGACCTGAATGCTAAAGTAGGAGAAACTTTTAGAGAGGGTGTGGTAGGTAAGTTTGGGGTGCCAGGTGTAAATGATAATGGGAGCCCTTTGACTGAACTTTGTATAGAAAGGGGTTTAGTTATAGGTAATACATATTTTAAGAAAAAGAGGATAAATAAGTATACAAGATATGATGTAGGGCAAAAATGACAGTAGTTTTGTTGGATTATGTATTGGTAGATAAAAGACTGTTAATAGACTTCAGGATGTACATGTTTATAGAGGGGCCACATATATATCAGATCACTTTCTAGTTGTAGCTACACTGAGAGTAAAAGGTAGATGGGATACAAGGAGAATAGAAGCATCAGGGAAGAGAGAGGTGAAGGTTTATAAACTAAAAGAGGAGGCAGTTAGGGTAAGATATAAACACTATTGGAGGATAGATGGTTAATGAGAGCATAGGCAATGGGGTCGAAGAGGTATGGGGTAGGTTTAAAAATGTAGTGTTCGAGTGTTCAGCAGAAGTTTGTGGTTACAGGAAAGTGGGTGCGGGAGGGAAGAGGTAAGATTGGTGGAATGATGATGTGAAGAGAGTAGTAAGGGAGAAAAAGTTAGCATATGAGAAGTTTTTACAAAGTAGAAGTGATGCAAGGAGGGAAGAGTATATGGAGAAAAAGAGAGAGGTTAAAGAGTGTGAAGCAATGTAAAAAGAGAGCAAATGAGAGAGTGGTGAGATGTTATCAACAAATTTTGTTGAAAATAAGAAAAAGTTTTGGAGTGAGATTAACAAGTTAAGAAAGCCTAGAGAACAAATGGATTTGTCAGTTAAAAATAGGAGAGGAGAGTTATTAAATGGAGAGTTAGAGGTATTGGGAAGATGGAGGGAATATTTTGAGGAATTGTTAAATGTTGATGAAGATAGGGAAGCTGTGATTTCGTGTATAGGGCAAGGAGGAACAACACCTTGTAGGAGTGAGGAAGAGCCAGTTGTGAGTGTGGGGGAAGTTCGTGAGGCAGTAGGTAAAATGAAAGGGGGTAAGGCAGCCGGGATTGATGGGATAAAGATAGAAATGTTAAAAGCAGGTGGGGATATAGTTTTGGAGTGGTTGGTGCAATTATTTAATAAATGTATGGAAGAGGGTAAGGTACCTAGGGATTGGCAGAGAGCATGCATAGTTCCTTTGTATAAAGGCAAAGGGGATAAAAGAGAGTGCAAAAATTATAGGGGGATAAGTCTGTTGAGTATACCTGGCAAAGTGTATGGTAGAGTTATTATTGCAAGAATTAAGAGTAAGACGGAGAATAGGATAGCAGATGAACAAGGAGGCTTTAGGAAAGGTAGGGGGTGTGTGGACCAGGTGTTTACAGTGAAACATATAAGTGAACAGTATTTAGATAAGGCTAAAGAGGTCTTTGTGGCATTTATGGATTTGGAAAAGGTGTATGACAGGGTGGATAGGGGGGCAATGTGGCAGATGTTGCAGGTGTATGGTGTAGGAGGTAGGTTACTGAAAGCAGTGAAGAGTTTTTACGAGGATAGTGAGGCTCAAGTTAGAGTATGTATGAAAGAGGGAAATTATTTCCCAGTAAAAGTAGGCCTTAGACAAGGATGTGTGATGTCACCGTGGTTGTTTAATATATTTATAGATGGGGTTGTAAGAGAAGTAAATGCGAGGGTCTTGGCAAGAGGCGTGGAGTTAAAAGATAAAGAATCACACAAAAAGTGGGAGTTTTCACAGTTGCTCTTTGCTGATGACACTATGCTCTTGGGAGATTCTGAAGAGAAGTTGCAGAGATTGGTGGATGAATTTGGTAGGGTGTGCAAAAGAAGAAAATTGAAAGTGAATACAGGAAAGAGTAAGGTTATGAGGATAACAAAAAAAATAGGTGATGAAAGATTGGATATCAGATTGGAGGGAGAGAGTATGGAGGAGGTGAATGTATTCAGATATTTGGGAGTGGACGTGTCAGCGGATGGGTCTATGAAAGATGAGGTGAATCATAGAATTGATGAGGGGAAAAGGGTGAGTGGTGCACTTAGGAGTCTGTGGAGACAAAAGAACTTTGTCCTTGGAGGCAAAGAGGGGAATGTATGAGAGTATAGTTTTACCAACGCTCTTATATGGGTGTGAAGCATGGGTGATGAATGTTGCAGCAAGGAGAAGGCTGGAGGCAGTGGAGATGTCATGTCTGAGAGCAATGTGTGGTGTGAATATAATGCAGAGAATTCGTAGTTTGGAAGTTAGGAGGAGGTGCGGGATTACCAAAACTGTTGTCCAGAGGGCTGAGGAAGGGTTGTTGAGGTGGTTTGGACATGTGGAGAGAATGGAGTGAAAACAGAATAACTTCAAGAGTGTATCAGTCTGTAGTGGAAGGAAGGCGGGGTAGGGGTCGGCCTAGGAAAGGTTGGAGGGAGGGGGTAAAGGAGGTTTTGTGTGCGAGGGGCTTGGACTTCCAGCAGGCATGCGTGAGCGTGTTTGGTAGGAGTGAATGGAGACAAATGGTTTTTAATACTTGACGTGCTGTTGGAGTGTGAGCAAAGTAACATTTATGAAGGGGTTCAGGGAAACCGGCAGGCCGGACTTGAGTCCTGGAGATGGGAAGTACAGTGCCTGCACTCTGAAGGAGGGGTGTTAATGTTGCAGTTTAAAAACTGTAGTGTAAAGCACCCTTCTGGCAAGACAGTGATGGAGTGAATGATGGTGAAAGTTTTTCTTTTTCGGGCCACCCTGCCTTGGTGGGCATCGGCCAGTGTGATAATAATAATAAATAACAAAGGCTATGATCAAGAAAGAGATCAGAAGGTACAGGAAGTTGAAGTACCCATTCACTGGCCTCCACTTTGAGAAAATTAAGATTACAGAGGCACATAATGGGTCCAGAGACAGGACAGAAAGTTTTGATAGGTAAATAAGTTATAATGGTAGAAGGGGTTCGGTTGTGCAGTGCGGGGATACCTTTCACGAATTACATAGAGACAGAAATACAAAGTGGTTTTTACACTTTTTAATTGCTAAGAGCTATTACCCTAATTCATTTTAAAATTCAATTCTAAGATATATTAGTAATAACCCAAAGTGAATAAGGTCAACAGGTGTAACGAAACTTGCACAGAGTCTATGTTCATCTGGGTGTGTGAGTTGTGACCCAGAATCGATGGTCACGAAGCTGGTCACCATGACCAGATGACCCAGTGGCAGGCAGAGAAGGACGAACCTGGCCATCACGGCATGGTGACCCACCCTCAGTACATATATATTTTTAATCATGATACGCAGTAGTTCAATTAGTGGAAGGCCTCTGTAAGATGACCAAAAACTCCAGCTGTGGGTCATCATATGACTAAGACCTGTGTTATTATTATTATTATTATTTCTATTATTATGCCAGAAACGCTTGTCCTGTTTCCTGATGGACCTTACCTGACCTAACCATTATTATTATAATCATGGGGAGTGCTAAACCCGTAGGATTATACAGCGCATGTAGAGGGGCTGGAAGGTATTCAGGCTCAGTTTAGTTAACTGGAGCAGAGATCCAATTCCCTAGATCAAGAGCCCCTGACCAGCATCAAGGGGTCTAACCTAACCAGTTGTTCAGTGTTGTAAAACATTCAAGAACAAATAACTAGTTTTTGGTTAGCTAAGAATAAGACATTATTGATGAATAGTATTAGGTTATATTTTTGCTGTTTCTTACTATTATTGGGAAGGCTTAAAATATATTTTTACAGCGCTGTATGACCCTAGCAGGTTTAGCGCTTTGTTTTTATTATACAATATAATTACAATATATTAATTATAGTTGTGATCAGGAAAATGTTGATTGATGTAATTGTTTAATAATAATAATATGAGTTTGGGATCAATATGACACACACATAGGTCTACATGATGAAATTTCCCCATTGGTTATAAGATTGTGGAACTTTCAATAAGAAAATAAAAAAAAAATGACACACTCATATATTTATTAAAGCAGTCATATATCTAGTCAGGTTGTTTATTGTTAAGGTAAGATATTGTACTGTGAGTATGTACAAACAAAGCTTTAAAACAGAGTCCACATTATTACACAGTACCTTCAGAATACAGTCTTTATTAGCTGGCAATACAGATTGAATAAAATATATTGAGAGTGTTAGTACAAGTAGAACACACATATCTGACTTGATAATCCGTCACTGTCAAACACCTACAGAGATTATAACTACTTTCTGTCTATGTTTTCTAAATAACAATATAAGTAACTAGATTTTTAATAGCATAGAGTAGCATGAAGCAAAAAAGAAAATTATAAAGTTAAAACTCATACTTTAACAATTAAAATAATAACTCAGGATAACTATGGTAAGTTACTAAGAGCCAAGGGAACACTTAATTAAATTTGTTTCCCAAGGATGTATGTGACACACTGAATTTATCATCATATTTAATCAAGCAGTTTAATTCGAGCAACAGAATTGTAATTAATGGTTGCAATATTTCAGCCAGTGAGTGTAAAATTAAATACTCAAAATGGGTATAGTTATATTGTTTGAATATTACAGTCATTTCATAGGTTAGTCTTATTAAATATTTGTTAATTATCTGTCTAATACAATATGTGAAAACAATCTTAGTATTTAAAATGTCATTAACGCTAAAGTTATTTCATATATTACTTAATGTAACTGGTAAAGTGTAGACAGACTCAGGATTGTAGATACAATTAACACTGAAATGAGTTATCATTTACTCAAATTTGTTTGGATGTGTCTCCATATGGTTCAATTTTTGGATAGTCTAAGATATAGTTCCAGTGTGTGGCCCTGTCTGTGTCCACACACTTTACATTTCATGTGATTGAGATTATCATACAATATCTTAGCCTAAGTGTAGCAGTGACATTTTATACTCTAGTGACTTTCTTACTTCAGTAATGTTTTACTTGACACATTTCATTATGATGGACACGGGATATACTAGTTCCTCTCTATACTCTTCTGCTGTCTTCACATTTATTTGTTAGCTCTGCTCTGGCAGTGGTTTTCAAACTTCTGTTGACAAACAAATTTAGCCAAGGTCTCGACTTTATTATGTTCCTGGAGGCTTATAAAAGAGAAACCACAAGATCTTACCTCATTAGGATGTCTGGGTATTTAGATCAAACGAAATGTGAACAGGGAGTTGGAGGTAATTAAATTTCCTAGTTTTAACTTCTGCAAACTTTAGAACAATAAGTACGTATAGCAAAAAAAATCACTTTTGTAATCTGGGTAACATGGATCCATAATTGATATACCTGGAATATGTTAAGCTACAGTTTCTTAGTTCAAGTGAAATAAAAAATGACACTTGATTATCAGACTCAAAGAAGCTTAAATGGCATGTTATTTTAATAAGCCTTTGTTTACCCCTCCTAACTGAGTGTCCTCGTTCAGTGTTTTTGTTCTTATAACTTGACGTATTTACACTGATGGGCTTCTGAAATTTCAAACGATTGAACTTCATATATTTTGGGATGATTCTACTTTCGTCTTGGTGGTAGGAGACTCAGACTTTCAACTTGATGTTCCGAGAATGCAAATATTTTTTTTTTTCCATGGAATTTGAATGTTGCTGATCAAAAATGTATGTGAGTGTATGTTTATTTTGTATAACTGTAAGAGAGAGAGTTCCTTTTTTGCAGTTATCCTTTGTTCTTTATTGATCCTCGCCGCATCTTTCACAGGTCTTCAGTGCTTTCTCAGAGTCTATCAAAAGTCTTCAATGTTTTTCAGAGGTCTGAAGTGTTGCTCAGCGTCCTTCAGAGGTCTGAAGTGTTGCTCAGCGTCCTTCAGAGGTCTGAAGTGTTGTTACAGGTCCTTTAGTAGGTCTGACGTGTAGTCAGTCGTCCTTTCAAGGTCTGAAGTGTTGTTCAGCGTCCTTCAGAGGTCTGAAGTGTTGTTCAGCGTCCTTCAGAGGTCTGAAGTGTTGTTCAGCATCCTTCAGAGGTCTGAAGTGTTGTTCAGTGTCCTTCAGAGGTCTGAAGTGTTCAGCATCCTTCAGAGGTCTAATGTTGTTCAGCATCCTTCAGAGGTCTGAAGTGTTGTTCAGAGCGTCCTTCAAGGTCCTGAATGTTGTTAGCGTCTTTCATGGCTGAAGTGTTCAGCGTCCTTTCATAGGTCTGAAGTGTTTCAGCGTCCTTCAGAGTCTGAAGTTGTTTTTTTCAGCATCCTTCAGAGGTCTGAAGTGTTGTTCAGCGTCCTTCAGAGGTCTGAAGTGTTCAGTGTCCTTCAGTGGTCTGAAGTGTTCAGCGTCCTCAAGGTCTGAAGTGTTCTTCAGGCGTCCTTCAGAGGTCTGAATGTGTTCAGGCGTCCTGCAGGAGGTCCTGGAATGTTGTTCAGTAGCGTCCTCAGAGGTCTTCAGCATGCAACTAGTCGAGCTGTGAGGGTTTGTGAGAATAGGGTCGTCCAGCAACCTATAAATATTTTCAACTCATTATTTATTATTATTATTATTATTATTATTATTATTATTATTATTATTATTATCATCATCATCATCATCATCATCATCATCATCATCATCATCATCATCATCATCATCATCAATGTTATTATAGTATGACAACTGTTTATATAATTTTTATAATAAAAATTAAAATAGTAATGTTGGTGTTGGGAACATGTCATGTACGTGACAGGACACACTTGTTCTCTCTATTACTGACGAAGAAAACCACTACTGCACTTGTTGCTCCTATTACTGTTATAATTACTACTACTACTATTACTACTGCTGCTGTTCCTCTTCAAGGGGGGCTCCTTGGCGTGGTGAAGAGGCTCTTGGTCTGAGGAATTAGCCCTGTCGGTCTTCTTCCTCAGACCGAACCTAATTACCCCCCATTCTCCCCTCCCCTATCCCATCCTCCCCATCCTTCCCTTTTTCCATTCCTCCTCCTCCTCCCCACCCCTCCCTTTTGCCCTTCCACTTTTTGGCCTTTGGGAATTTCTTACCCACAGGCCACGCGTCAGTTCCTAGTAGGGGAAAGGACACCGGGGTCCATCCCATCTGTTGAGGTTCTTGGCGGTGGCGGAAGTTTTTGCCGTGATTCTGGATTGCCTGGGGATGTCCCGATCCCTCTCTGGTATCCGGAGTAGCTTTGGGTGGTCTTTCGGGCACGGGTGAAGCTCTGGAAGCCACCTTTCGGATTCCGGGGTGGTGGACGACGGAGGTATGCTTTGTGTGGAAATCCGCCCCCTCTCTTTCCGTTCACCGAGGTAGCTCGTAGATGTGAGGTTGCTAACCCGGATTGCTGTTTTACCGTGCATGAAGGGTAGGGTATGCATGGGTTTTCCACGCTGCATCTGCGCTACAATTGGTGCTGAGTCCTTCTTGGTGCGGATGGGAGATTTCCCGGCCCTCATTCCTCTGGGAACTATTTCCTCCCCCTCCCCCTCCCCCCTTTTTTTATATTTATTTCTTTTTTTTTCTTTTCTTTTCTAAAAACAAATAGCAAATGAGTATCCTACCATGGAGAACCCAATCCCCATGAACGCATAACCCCCCGTGCCCCTTTCCTTGATAACGCACCCCCATTCTGACCCTGCCTTGAGTTTAGACCCCTTCTTCGACACTCCCGAGGCCCTGTACTCTGCTGGTGCTGTTACCTCACGCTGCTTCAGGTACCGGGCTTCGACTGACTCCTTCGATTTGTCTGAACTCCCCTCATCCTTGACTATGCTTCCGGCTTCTCCTCCCCTCTACTACGGTACGCAATTTTCGAATCGCCCCGCCCTTTCAACCGCCAGGACTTACTCCGTCCGTACTCCTAAAACTCCAACGTCAATCTCCTGATGATGCTCTGCCTTCAGTTACCTTCCCAGTTCTACTCGGAAAAGACCGACACGTCAACACTCATCCCTCTCTCACCTCAAGTTTCGACCCACACAATGACTTAATTCTTTACTTTAAGACCGACTTCATCTGCCTACCTTTCTGACCCATAGTAATGGCAAAGCGCTCCTGTGTCAGGTTGGTAGAGATATTTCATTTCATGGCTCTCAAGAGCGGTACGCGATCGACACAGTCCAGAATGCTACCCAAGCTCATGATCTTTTCTCCTTTCGAATATCGGATACTACTCCTATCACTGATTGAAAAACATCGTTCTCATTCATTCTGTCGTGTACTGTCCATTCTGCCCCATACCTATAGTCTACAGAATTTCCAGTCATGTGCAATGAACATTTTTGAACAGCTGGACTCCAGGATCTCCCAATCCTCAAAGTAGACACTTATGTCCTTCAGCCCGGGGGCGGAGACGTTACCCTGCAATGTGGCTCGTTAAACTTTTGACAGCCGAGAAACTCCCGTCCTCTGTATATGTTCGCGGACATTGGTTACAATTCGAAAGGTGATACCTACAAACCGCAATAATGTAGAAATTGCTGGCGTTTTGTCACCCAGCGAAATATTGCAGATCTATGGCCGAATCCCAGTACTGTGGTGCCGACGGCCATTCCTAATACCACTTGCAGTTCAACCTCCATCTTGCCTTAATTGTAATGAAGCTCGCCCTTTCGTACTCCCGGCCCCGTTGCCAGGTCTACTTAAATGAACGTTGAAATCCAGTTGCCTCAAAGAGGCCAGAAGGTCTCCCCTTCTGCTATGGCATTACTCGATCTCCGCCTCCAAGGGAGACTACCCCGTGTTTCCTTATTCCGTGTTTCCAAACATCCCCCCACTTCCTGGGGTCCCATCTCTGCAGCCTCCTCTGTTGTTTACACCCTCCCATAGCCACTCCGGCAATCTAATCCTTTTCTGTCCTTGGCTCTGGACGTCCCACTACAACCTCAGTCAGTCTCACAATCTTGCGTCCATCCCCACAATCGCTCCCAGTATCGACAAGACCTTGTACGACACCTAATACCAATCGCCCCTCTACTTCTCAGAAGTTCCAAAAAATCCACATTGCTCTGCCATCTTCTTTTTGCCTCTTCCCTCCCTTCTTCACCTCCACACTTTACCTTTCAGTCCTCGTACCTAGTCTTCCCCTCTCTCTGGCTCTATTACAAGTGTGAGATTCACCCTCCTCCTCGTACTACATGCCTTCCCCCCGCCGTCACCTCCACAGATTCTCCCTCTTCTGCCACCTCCCAGGTTACTGCCTCTTCTGTCCCCCCCCACACTTCATCTCAGTTTTCTTACAACTCTTCCTCCCCCACTACTTTGGTACAGTCCATTACTGTCCCAATCTTTACTCTCCCTCCTCCTTCTATCTCCAATATGGTCATCCCATACATCTTTGAATTCAGAAACACTGAAGCATTTCAGAATATATTGCAGAGACTACACCTTCAATGACACTTGATTGTCACTTTCCTGTTCCCTTCTCTTCCCTCTCCTTCCATCTTCACAGACCCCATTCTTCGCAACGCTCCTTCCCGTCGCTACATGAACTCTCCAATCCATCACACCACACGTTGGACTTTTCTAACCCCTCTATCGTAGTGCCTTTACCTACAGATTCCCCTGGTATTTTCTTCATTGCCAATCATGGCCTATTTACAGTGGAATGTCCACGTCCTCAGGGGTAATCGGGGTGAGCTTCAGATGTTTCTTTCCAGTTTTCCCCTTTGTGCTTGCTTACAAGAACCAAATTACACTGTCTGCTGTCTTCCAACCTATCCAGTCTAATAATTTATTGTATTCTTCGAATCCTTTCTTCAGAGGACCTTTTTAAATGCAAGTGCCTTCTTCTACGCAATGATATCCAGTACTGTCAACTATTTTGTCCATACCTCGCTGCAATACCACTGCAGCCCGTATCCACCTTGAATAAGTGTTTACAGATATGTTTCTTTATATCTCTCTCCTTCCGAAGCATTTTCTATCCCATACTTTGCCTTTCATTGTATCATCCTTACCCACACCACTTCTGTTACTTGTGATTTTAATGCCCACCATTTCCTCTGGGGGGGGTCCCTCATTGTGACTCATGTGGCATTCCCAGTTGAGGCTTTTCTTGCCTCTCACCCCCTCCATGTTTTAATACTGGTACGCCACCCATTTTGATCCTCATACTCATACTCCTCTCTTGCATTGATCTATCAGTCTGCTCTTCCCTCACGCACTAGACTTCACCTGGTCTGTTCTACCGGACTTACATGACAGCGATCATTTTCCGATCATTCTTACTTCTCCTTCCTATTCACCACCTTTCCGTAACCCTCGCTGGCAATTTGATCTGGCAAATTGGGATCTTTACTCACACCATCACATCTGCTGCTTCCTATGAGTTGCAGTCCTGGAAGAATAAAATAAAAAAAAAAAAAAATGTGAGAAAATGAGTGTAAATACTCTCCTGACCTGGCTCCTGTTCTGTGGGTCGCTGGTGTTGATGTAGCAAACCCTCAAGACGTTGCCATTGAACTTGGCACACATCTGGTCCGTATTTCCCGAGGGCTCTATCTATGCCCCTCGTTTCTTTCCTCAAATTCTGCCAGAGAGTTAGTACCCTTTGGATTTTCTTCTCTCGAGAAGAACAGTATAATGTCCTTTTCCACTTCAAGACTGGAGCAATGCTCACAGCTTGCCTGATCATCGCAGCTGGGCCTGGACGACCATTCATATTTGTATGTTACAACATTTACATCGGTCAGCGCCTTGTAGTCCTCCTTAACCACCTTTTCAATCTTTTTGGGCACAAGGATTTTCTTCCCTCGCGGTGGACATCTGCCATTGTTCTCCCTATCCGCAAACCGGGTACTACAGGACATGAATGCCTCCCACTCTCGTCCCACTAACGACGTTTAATGTGGTATTTTAGAGACACACAACAGTCTCTCCGCGTAGTCCTCTATGGCTTTCGTAAGGGTTCGTTTTACCATAGACCCCCTTACTACCCTGGATACATATGTTACGTAATGCCCTTTGCGATAATCACTCAGTTATTGCCATATTTTTTGACCTTAGAAGAAGGCATATGACACTACTTGGAGTATAATAATTTTGCCCGGCCCATTCCATAGGCTCCGAGGCAATCTAGCGACCATCCATCCTTAAGAACTTTTTAAACTGAGACATTTCGTGTTCGAGTCTATTAATAATGTTCTTTTTCTTTCCCCTGACTTCGTCCAAGCTGAAGTGTCCCTCAGGGATGTGTTCTAAGCACAACACTTTTTCTCCTTGCTATAAATAATTTGGCCTCTGTTCTTCCACCCAATATTTGGTCATCACTCTATGTTGATAACTTCGCTATTGCTTGTGCAGGCGCTGACTGTCATCTTATTGCAGTTTCTCTCCAGCATGCGGTCGA